TGAAAAGGCGCGAGAGCGCCGAAGGCGCACGAGCGATGCAATTTTTTTTTGGAAAAAAGCGCGAGATTACGACGTTTTGTTGTCATCGCTGGTATCGACATAAGCGATTGAAATTAACTAAACATCGAAAAATTGTTTTTTTTGTTTAACACTCAAAATGGCAACGTGTTTTCACAACAGCTGATTAAAGCGAATATAAACATTGAAACTCAGTTCGATATCGTTCTGAAGAAGTATGAATCACGCCACACGAACAAAACACTTGCTTGTATACAAGTAGACTGAAAGTGCTGCAAATATTAAAAAAATGATGACAAATCTTTTTTTCTGTGTTCGATATCGGTATAAGCGCATTGCGATTTCGTCGCATTATACAGAGGACGAATCATTCGTTCGACAAGTGTCTAATTGAGCACTGATTTCATTCTATTGTGTCTATATCAAATATATTTCGTGCGAATAAATAAAAATTTGAGTGAAATTTCAACCGAATAAAATACCATGAATAAAAAACCATCAGGGTATGACTTCAAGAAAAGGCGCGAAGAGAAAGAAGCTAAAGAGGCTGATTGCGTAAAAAAACGCGGAAGCTCGATTGTTATTTTCGGAGCCAAGGTTTGTGTTTCAGTGATTTTGAAATTGTGCCATTGTTAATTCATTTCGTTTTGAAGATGCTAGCACCTTTGAGAAAATACCATCAGCAACTGATAGCAATGCGTCCGATACAAAAGATCTATCAGAAGAGATGGAAAGTGGTTTATCAGAGGAAAATGAAGCAACAGAAAAGATGGAAGTCGAAGAAATATCGCCATCTTTAGGTGCATCGGTATTGATTGCAGGTCATTATTATACTTGCGAAACAATTTTTGCCTTTCCAAAGTACAATTGGCAACTGACTTATCCAATTGTTATGTTTTTTCGATTAGATTTGGAAATTGATATATCTGACGTGGCCAATTTTCCATCAACATTGTCAGAGAATCTGAGAACGCGTATTATTCAAACAGGCCCAAATCAAATTGATATGCAATTTCCGATTACGAATGGGCGTACATTTTCCTCAAATTATTATTCTTAAACGCTCACGAACAACGAAAGAGTTAAACGGGAATGGTTGATTTATTCAAGGCAGCTTGATTCAGTTCATTGTTTTTGCTGTTTACTTTTCAATTCAAATGACAACTCAATCCGTTCAACGCAAGTCAAGGCTTTTCAGATTGGAGACATTTGTCGCAAGCAATTCAACGTCATGAAACTTCAGCAAGTCATTTGGATAATTTCTGTATTTGGAAGGAGCAATTCAACAGATTATCGAATAACACTACGATTGAATGTCAATTGGAAAAGAGTTTGTTGGATAGAAAGAAGCAATTGAAGCAGGTGTTTGAACGATTTGTTGCAATGACAATGTTTTTGGCACGACAAAATATTGCATTTGCCGGAACGGACAATACGAGTGGCAACTTTTATGAACTGGCTCAAACTATTGGTGAATTTGATTTGGTGATGAAAAATCATTTAGAAAGTAGCTCTCGAAATAAATATCTAGGCCCCGCAACACAGAATGAACTCATCACCATCGTTGGAAATAAAGTGCGACAGCACATAATCGACCAAATCATTGAAAGCAAGTATTATTCGTTGATTTTGGATTGCACATCAGACGTGAGTCGTCAGGAGCAGATGACGTTTGTTATTCGATATGTACACTTTGATGTCGACAAGCGATTTTTTCAAATCAAAGAGAGTTTTATCGAGTTTGTTGATGTCAGCGAAACGACTGGAAAGGCGATGGCCGATATCGCTGTTAACAATCTAAATAAACACAAAATCGAAATCAAAAATATGCGAGGTCAGGGATACGACAACGGATCGAATATGAAAGGCAAGCACATCGGTGTACAAGCGCAAATTCAAAGTATAAATCCGTTGGCTGTATTTATCCCATGCTCAAATCATACATTGAACTTGTCATTGAATGACGCTGCATCAGCCTCTATTGAAGTTTGTGCTTTCTTTGCTACGGTACAGAAGATTTACACTTTTCTTTCAGCATCAACTACTCGTTGGGATATTTTGAAGAAGCATTGCACATCTATTCATGATTTGGTGCCAAAAGCATTAAGTACAACACGTTGGTCGGCGCGATTAAATGCAATTAAGCCGCTTCGTAGAAATCTCAATAAAATCCTTGCAACACTCGATGAAATCAGCAATTCTGAGTCATTTGAACCATCTGTACGGTACGAGGCGGAATGCATAATAAACTTCATTGATTTTAAATTCATTTGTTCGGTCTGTATATGGCACGCAATATTGGAAAATTTTGACCGCGTATCAAAACTGATGCAACGTATTGACATGAATTTAAGCGGCGTTGAAACTCTCTTATCTGATATTAGTCAGTTTTTAGCTGAATACAAAGAAAACGGATATGAACGTGCTATTACAGAAGCCACCGAAATTGCCGATGAATTGGAAATTCCGGCGAATTTCGAACAAACCCGAAGAGGAAGACCTCGCCGAAACGAGACAGATCCGGAAAAATTGTTCAAAGAAAACTTTTTTGATTTTGTTGTCGACGTTGCATCCGAATCGATTGAGGATCGATTCAAAGTGATTAATTCACACAGCAAATTGTACGCGTTTCTTTATGAGTATAAGGAGTTCAACGCACTCTATTCAAGTGGCGAATTGATTACGCATTGCAAACTTTTGAAAGAAACTCTGACTCACAACAACGAATCCGATATCGATGCCGAGGAATTATGTAACGAACTGCGCATAGTTGGCAAAATAATGGAAAGCCACCAAATTGAACATACCATCGACATTTTGAATGAAATCGCAAAAAAGAGATTAGAAAACTCACTACCAAATGCGGTCATTGCCTACAAGATCCTCCTGACGCTTCCTGTAAGCGTTGCAACAGGAGAACGCACCTTTTCGAAATTGAAGTTGACCAAAACGTACTTACGAAGCACAATGCTGCAGGAACGACTCAGCAATTTAGCGATAATTTCTATTGAACAGGATGTAGCAAAAACATTGAATTACGATCAAATTATTGATGAATTTGCCCACCTCAAAGCTAGAAAATGCAATTTCGATTAAGAATTTGATTTAGTTTTACATTAAAACTGCGTAGACAGTAAGAAGGTTTAATAAATTATTCAGTTTTCACGCTGCTAAGCTAAACACACCGTATTTCATTTCACTCTTCCTTTCAGATCTTGTTTCTTTTCGACCAACATTTGCTTGTTCTTTGTAATGTATGTAAACAAGGAATATAGAATTTTCTGTTAAAATTCAAAAGGCGCGTAAAAAATTTTGCACACGGGCGCGAGCGCACCAAAAAAAGCCACTGTTGCTTTGTTTTTGGAAATTAATATGTTTCAATGAAGTAATGGGTCTAAGATTACTTCAACACTCTTTTAATGGATATTTTGAAATTTAATCACATTTTACAATGTCCAATAAGGGGAAAATGGAACTTTTTTAAAAGTGGAAATTTGCTATTTACAAAACTTGTGAAATGTGGATGCAAATGTATTACCCAAAAAATTACAATTTCCCAATGATAAGAAGTTAAAATAGACATACTTTTACATAAAAATGTATTTTTCCAAAAAAAGCCTTACAAAATTACTGATATCAGATGAAAAACCTCTAGACGAGGTTAAAATGGAGTGACGCTCCGTACGTGGATTTACCACTCAAAAAGACTGATACCATATTGAATGACGCTTTGACGCTGTATTACCTCTGGATACGAAGTTCAGAAGTGTTTTTCGCATTCACTATTGTAAAAATTTATTTACAATAAGGAAAAATATCGCGTCACGACTTTTACACGGCAAAATGCTTAAATGCTTTGAAACAAAATTCAAAAGTCGCGACGCGATATTTTTCCTTATTGTAAATAAATTTTTACAATAGTGTATGCGAAAAACACTTTTGAACTTCGTATCCAGAGGTAATACAGCGTCAAAGCTTCACTCAATATGGTATCAGTCTTTTTGAGTGGTAAATCCACGTACGGAGCGTCACTCCATTTTAACCTCGTCTAGAGGTTTTTCATCTGATAATATTATCACATATCGCTATCTTGAGTGAATTTCTAAAGCTTTTTTCTTTCAAATGTGTCGCCACTGATCGACATGTCCAATGGATTGTATCTGTGCTCTATTTGACTGCATCTCTGTTGTTCCTTTTGGATTGAAGAATATGCTTATTAGGGTGGATCGAGCATTGCTAATCCTCCTTCATATGATATCCCCGTATAATTTTAATTTCGCATATATTCGGTGATTTAGAACAGCATTAATCATAATAATTCTTTCAAACAAAAGCATGCCTATTGTCCAGTGGATAATGTTCACGTATGTGCTTTTCAATCAGGTATTCGTACATATTTTTCAAGTAATTTTTACTCACCTGTATAAACTGCATTCAGACCCAAGAAATCAATTTTAATGAGGTGCCGTTCGATGCCCCAACAAAACCCCAACTGATGAATTTCCAGTGTAGAAATTCTTTTGATTTATAAATCTAATGAAACGCCCAAATGGTTTTTTTCTCTTGCATTTTATTCCGAATATAAGTGTTTTTGGTCAGCAAACCAAATGTCGATGTGAAACTTTTTTAATGGTTTCTACTTGATAAATAGTTTTGGCTAGCTAGAATTTTCTAAAAGAGGTTTTGGTGTAGAATTGCATGCTGGTGTATACGATTTCAAGTTTTAGATGAAATTTCGACTAATTGAAAAAGGAAATGCTTTATGTTTATAAAAATGTGTGATAGGGTGCTTGTGCAAAATTTTCTCATTGTCATCAAAATCAGGGTTGTCATAGATCGAAAGAAAATCATTATTTTCCATATTCTGGATGAGATGCGATGAAATCTTGCTGTGCTTTCTCTTGACAATCTTGGTCGCAGTCGCCAGGGAATTCAAACATGACTTCTCCATTGGGTCCGATTGTGACTTTAGTTTCAGTTGGTCCCTTTGGTTTCAAATAATCTTTGAAAAATGTTCCCGGATCTGAATTCATTCTCTGGCATTCTCCTGTTGGATCTTCATCGCAACCACCGGGTGTATTCCAGCTGACTCCACCTCCGGGTTTGACAGTTGGTTTGAAGTCCCATGCAGATCGTTTTTTCAAATCTTCGGTGTAATCTTCATTTACCGAGCAAAGAGCGGGGTAATCAGGATTTGTTCCGGTTTTACATTTCGATGCGGCTGGTCCAGCTTCATAGATGTACCTATTCAATTCAGAAATTGTAAAATGGATTTATTTCGATCACTTTAACTGATTTTGTTAAACTAAAGTCACTCACGTATTCTGCATATTTCCGAACCCATAGTTGCACACTAAGATTGCTTGCTGTCCTTCGCCATCAGTGTATTTTGAACCAGCACAGCCCACAACCGTTGCATCTTGTCCGACGAATTGAGTGAAGTGACCAATTTCTTTTTTGCTAAAAATCAAAACAGAAGTTATTACCGAATTTCAGAAATTGTAGAACGTATTTTGATGCATTCACTTACGGATCGTGAGATGTTCCAATGCCTTGGAACTTCTCAATCATTTTCATCCAACCATATTGACCACCGTTTTGTGCTTCCATTTCAAACCATGCTGGAACCAATTTCTCAATGATTTCCTTGTCATCGGTCATGCCACCTCCCTTTGCGATATTTTGTCCGGCCGGATACCAATCCTCTGCGATATTAAAAAAAGAAGAAATATTAATTCTAAAGCATTTGATTATTGTTTCACATTATTACCAGTGTTTCTGCATTTATCGTGACCATATTTACATAGCCGTGCATTATATTCGGCCATCTCAGCTAGCCCATCATCCCAAACGAGTGTTCCCATACGCGATCCTGGACCATAGTTTGGTGTTTTTCCAGCAGCTTGTTGATTTCGCAGCTTATTGTGTATATCAAGGATTCGTTGCTGGAGCTCTGGTGTAATATTGACCAATGCTTTGTCTGACGAGCAGTCAGGTCCCCAACCCTGAAATTGTGCACAATGAATTTATTATTATTCTGACAAATCTAATTGAATTTATTTTTATTTTGGACAAAATAAGCAAACATAGTGTACAATGTATACTGTACATAAAGAGATGGGTCAAGAAAAATGATACATTTTTAATTTCTAGCCGTATTTTGTACATTACAGCTACACTGAGTGCTTTCAACTGGTTTCAACTAATGTGTGTGATATGGTTGATTAAGAATGAACTTTGTGACGTTAGATGTTATTGGCGCAATTCAATTTGTCAACGATTTAAGAAAACTTCATTATTTTTATGATGACTTTATATAGAGGCATTTGCTACTACCAATTTCAGAACTCGAAATATACAGAATCATTTCATGCTCAATGGAGCATTTAATATAGTCAATTAGTCATTGATAAATTAAACTTTTTTGTTCATAACTAAGAATGCAATAACACTCATCGCACTTATATCTTATAGATTCACAGAGAATGGAGACTTTTAGATACACGGAGAGCTAGGGTTTACAAACGTTTCGACAAATACCGCAAACGATTATAAAAAAAACGTTATTTTTCTGTAGTGTTCTATTTTGATACCGTAGAAAAAACGGAAAAAAATGCACTATTACTGCACTGCAATACTGCATTTTTTTAACGGCTCTCTAAAATGTTTTTTGGAAACACTGAAAAAATAACGCGATTTCAAACCTTACAGAGAGCTGAAACTGTCTATCATTAGAAATAATTCATTGATTTACAACATTTCGAGGTGATGCGAACCTTTGACGGAATTTATAAAATTGAGTTGTAAAGTTTTCGATGGGTTTCAATTTTCTGAAGAAATTGTCTTTGGACTAATATTCAATATATCACATATTTTCCCTCTTGTCACATAATGTGACTCACATTCCTCCTTGCCTGTTGTGCAGTGACTTGTCTGAACAGTGACACTTCTTTGGAAAATTGAAAATGTGTTTTTTCTTTGTATATTTCACCATACAGCTGAACTTTTAAGTGTAAAATGTGTTGACTTTTTCAATTTATTTTTGGCATTCGGGCTACAGCTAAGCCACTAAGAAGCACTTCCGGTGAATGTGAAGAAAAAATGTCCGAAAATTTGCATTTTTGTAATGCAGGCGGATTTTTTTTCCAATAAATTCTTGCGACGCAAGGCTGTTATCTTTGGGTTACTTCCATTGACCATTTTTGTCCTCTTCCGAAGTTTCACTTACTTTATTTGCAGCAGGACTATTACATGCGACATGTGGTTTTTTGGCGCATCTCATTTTTCCACAATAATCGACAGCCACCGCTGCTCCAATCGCCAAGCAGAGGACTGATTCAGAGCAAAAAAAAAATGGACAAAAGAATTGTTTTAAAATACAACATTTGTTTTCGTTATGATTGAATCAACTTGGATTGAATATATTTAAAGCAAGTATTGATTTAATATATGTACCAATTGCACTCTTAAAATTCATTATTGATAAAAATCCAACAATTTGTTTCACTAGAATTGAACAAAATTTTTGAATTCACTATTGACAAAGAGATAGCTCTCTATTTTCTTTAGTACGAACGATGACTGACGGAAAATCATTCGCTCCGATTGTTTTTATAGGAAAAATGCAATGCATGATTGCTTCTCAGATTGAACAATGGCTAGCCTAATAATTAAAAATATTCGAATTCATTTCCCAGAAGCTCTACTTAATGCAACGTAATGACGTGTCCACCAATCAGTATACACTGCAGCAAGTGATTCCCACATTTACATATTTTGACAAGTGAAAAGAAAAAAAATTGTTCATATTTCCTACACAAAAAGCTAGATTTCTAATTTATGAACGAGCATTTGATAAGGAGTGTTCATCTAGCATCGACTTAATTGGGATGAGCTGTGTCTTACTGAATTAACGAAATCAAGACGAATTTATCCACAAGAAATGAAGATGATATCATCAGAAATTAATTGAAGCGAATCATTTGACGGAACCAAGTAGCGAATTTTCTAAGAACATTACTGAACAAAAAGATTTCATTTTGTGTATAGATTAAGTGAACACTTTGGACCATCATTAGACTCTTACATCATACAAGTTGTGTCATAATAAATGATCAATTCTCATAAAAACAGCAATTTGACATTAATGAAGGTGCTAAAAGTTTCATTTAGGCACGTTCGAAGCTAGAATTGAAGTTATTCGAATCTAGTAGTATTGGTGCAATTTGTAATTTCGACACGCGCGAAGTATAGCGGCTCAACCATGTTTACCGGCACGTTTAGGTAAATTTAACGGAATAGTTAGGTAAATTTTATTATTTGTATTGCGAGTGCCCAAATGGCTACATTCAAATGCATAGAGTTGATTCCAGGTATAAGCTTATACATTGTTCAGACTGTTCATAGAATCGTTCGTCTGGCTTGTGGCGAGCGGGAGAAAATTTATTCAAAATTCGTGTTATAATTGCAGTGCAGAGTGCACGAACTAATTAGCGAACAAAATACCGCACAACTGGCAGTGATTAACATTTAATAGGCCGCCGCTGATCGAATTGTATGGAAATGCATGAATAAATTAAATGCGTAAATAGATTAAAATCCGTTGTTTATTATGCACAAATGAGTTTCCAAGATTTCAATGAGTAGCCAAATGAAAATTGAGCAACAATAATAATTTTCGTTATTGCGCTTTCAATATTTTTAGATTGCCGTCTAATGCTGACTGCTTCGTTTGCTGAAAAAAATGTTTGATATTTGCACGAGTCTGATATTTGAAGTTCAGGAGTCATTGTTCGCGATTTGGAATTGCAAAATAGGCAAGAATCGAATTGGCATTGAATAATATAGCCATGACTTTGGCGTCGCTCTGAATGCCTTGATTTCGAACTAATTCGCGATAAAAAATGACGAGATCTGTAGATATTTTTGTTTCCTTACAGCTGATACGAAATTGTTCAATTGCTTTTTAATTGCGAAAATTCAAAATACTAGTGATTTTCATTGTTTTTCGTCGTTAATTCTATTGTTTTTTAATATTTCACTACGTATCCAAGCAAATAAGGAGTTGTTCCTCAATTCAGTCGATAAAATTCTCTATACAGTGTAATAATTATAAAAAATATTTTTTCCAACCAAACTACAATGTAGATTGCTTCTATCTTTAATTTATCTCCAAAAATAAAATGTGAGATCATTTTCATCGCATCGAATTTGAATGTCGCTTCAGGATTGAACTACAAAAATTCTCTGTTCATTGTTCAAATGTTTCTTATCGCCAACTGATTTATTTTTTTCATATTAAATTACTTATTAGCACTTGCTTGTGTTGAACCCGAGCGACCAAGATAACAAACTAGAAATTATAGGGCAATGAAGTTCCAGCATTTTGTTCTAATGATCATATCATTCAATCCATAAATATGAATATTTTTCATAGCTTGTAAAAAAGAATTGTTCTAGAAATTATTTGATCCAATCAGTGAAAAAATTTCCTATGTGCATATTGAATTTTCTATGATAACATGCAATAATTTTATCAATGGTAATTTGAATTGAAGTTGCTAAGGTTGAATTCAAATGCTTAAATCTTTGATTTTTTTTATTAAAAAATAAAAGAGTTTTCGGCGTAATAATTTTGCCGAAAAACCCAAGATAGTCAGCAATCACTGGAATAATGGTGTTTATGATAAATTTCATTAAATTTACGGTTCGGTTCATGTACTATGGTCGGCGATCATTGGGCGTTTATTAAAATTATGAACTTGAAGAAAAAAAATGCAGAATAGTAAAACAAAGCTCTGTTCCCACTTATTTCCGGATAATGACATTTTTTTCAATTGTTCTATTCCCCGAAATAAAGAGATTGATTAAAATCAATTAAAATTTTCAAAATAGAATAAAACATTCGATTAATTTTTCAAGAAAATAAATACATTTAATCAACAATTGTTAACAGTTAAGATTGGAGTTTCCATTTGTTAACATGAAAATGAAGGCATTAAATTTCTTGGCAATTTTATTCACCTTGGATCCATTTCCAGGTAATGTGTTTGTAAATAAGTTAGTTGAACGTGTTGTGTCGAAGCGAAAAGGACAACCAACGAGAAAAGATTGGAAGTGCTGAGCGTTATTGAGTGTATTTACCATTTCACACTCCGCTTGGGCTATGCACGCCGTCTGGAACGACAACATACACTGAAAGTGACGGTGTTGGCGGCCGAAAAAAGTGATTTTTCAATTTAATCGCTGAAGTTTGATTAAAATACTAGTTAGAACAAGGGCAAATCACTCAAAAGTAATACAACGCTGCTGAAAAAGTAATACAACTTTTTAGTGAATTATCCCTTGAGTTAGAAGCTTCAGGACACACTTTCACAATCAGATCAGGGCAAACAGACATGTGTTTTGTATGAAAACAAAGAATATGTAGGTTTTCGTATGAATCTTTTTCTGGGGCCGCTGAATCCGAATCTACCATTAGTTTTGTTCTGGCAGCTCTAGTTTTTGAGATATGGCACCGGGGCAATTTCAGCATATTCCAGACGCGTTTTTCCCAAAAATCAACAAATTTTGTAGTAATAAACTCCTCAAAGATTGTGATAAAGGATCTCAAAACCTTTCATTTGAGCCTCCAATTGTCTCGATATCTCAATTCTACCCAAAGTTAAAGCACTTTTTGTACAAATATCAATCCAAAAACAAGACGGTTGGTCCAATTTTCAGCGCCTTGCGCCCTTAAAAATACAGTATATCGTTAAGTGTGCTATAGTTTTTGCCTTGAATATTGTAGAGGAACATTATAAGAAGATTTTAAGTGCTAGGTCAAGGGGGAAAGTGCTAGATTTGTATAATTCAAATAATGCAATCTAGTACAAAAATAATCCCAAATAATCCTTCGGAATTCTCAATAATGCTCAATAATGCTATTC